TTAGACTATCATCGAAATTACAAGAGGGCTCTGGAAACTGGCTTCCGACTCACAATGCTACGTCTTCACAATGGAGAACAGTGACAATGTAGCAATGCTCTATTTCCCAATTATACTTGGATTAATACTCCCTTCTATTTGGAATTTTAAATAGGATTTTTTTTCATGCTTCTAATCATGAAAAATTCCCCTAAAGCTTACCCTCTTTGCCATATTCTTATGTGAGGATATATCAGAGTCATATACCCATCAGACATATTAGAGTTGGCATACCTACCCTTCATTTTACTCCTAACAAATTCACCTGAGGACTGGGATGCACCCATCAGGCCAACAAGTAATCCAGGCCCTGGAATGGGGACCCAAGTTTGCCTACTCATCAGGGGAATTCAAAAATGCCAGGTCTGACTTTTTATAACAGAATGGTTTACATGGTACCATGCAATCACAAAGCATTTCTTTCTAGAACATGTTGCAGTAACCCTCACTTCTTAATTTAAGAAGTGACCAGGAAGTTAGACTTAACCCATGAGGAGGAGCTGAGATCAAGTGATCAGGGCCTAAGAAGACCAGGCAGAAGACAGCTTCAGGGTGGAAGACAAAATCAACAAAGGGGGCAGATAGATTCTCAATGCCGATTTTTAGGTAGGGGCACAGGAGACAAAAAAAGAAAGAAAGAAAGAAATGGATACTTGATCATGGTTGCATGGGAGACTACCAAGCCAGGTATTCAAAGGATGGCCCTAATTACTAGAATGCAGGAACAATGTAGCTAATTAAGTTTTGGAATACATGCAAGGAAGCTTGAGTTTTCCTGGCAATAGGTCAAGCCTGTAGAGCAACTGCAGCCAGAGTCTTTGCATACAGGGCTTGGGGGAGCTCTTTGAGGAGAAGAAAATGAAATTATGGTTAATCACTACTTGCAATAAATAATAAAATGCATGTGAAGGTTCATGCCAGGCTCACTGCACGCCAGTTCCTCTCCTCTCTTCCAAGAACCACAACTATGTGGCAGTAGGCGAAAGCACGCCCTAATGGGGTCCATACCCATGAGACCATCACATTCCCCAAGGGTCAGACTGTTGGAAACACAGGAGCCAACGCCCCATGTGCCCTCTGCATTACGTTTCCATAGTGTGGGCATCCTGAAGAACCTCTTCCCCCAACAACGTTTTGCCTTAGAAACCTGGACCAATCTGTGGCCTGCAAAACCAAATGCCCTATTTCTTCATAAGTCACATTTTGCAGGCACTCATAAGTCAAACGATTAAAGAGATGCATTTTAAGCAGCTTTTTCTCAGTCAGTGGACATGCTAAAGGTCTTAGGCAGCACTGAGAGTCTTAAACTTTTGTTTGAAATAAGGTTGCATGCCATGAACATCAACACGGGACATGCCTGGGTATTCATTTATCAGTGGCTCTGAAGTAAGATCCTGGCCATCACTGCGTAAAGTATGAACATTTTGAAAGAGCTCCCAGAAGGCTTCTCTGTAGATGCCACAGAACGGACTGTGGTTTCAAGACTGAATCTGGCCTTGGCACAAAAATGATTCATTAGAAGATCACGTACCAAGACGATGGGTTTCTGTTTAAAAATAATAGTAATATTAACCCTGAAAACTTGATTTAGTATCACTTCCTGAGAATGGCAGGGTAGTTGGTGCTGTACTGGGGAATACACCCAAATGCCTGCCAAGGTCTCTGAAAGGTATCCCATCATCATATGCCACAAGTAAGCTGCAAATTAGAAATCCCATTCCTCAAAAGCATTATTTTTTGGCTGGCCACATTCATGTAGTTAGAGGCACATACTTAATACTGCTCTTCAGAGTGGCTCTTCTTCTAAGTCGGTGCTTCAGAAGAATCAGTGCATGTGTTAATGCTTGAACATACTAAAATGTCACCATGTCCGTTTTCCCTTTTGATGGATTCCTGAAATATCCTGGGTTGATCTGTGAAATGTGTCTGGCAATTCAAGTGTGAAGCTATAGGCTATATGGCCTCTAATTGATCCTAAGCAGTGATCACGTCTCACCCTGGACAAATTGCTACAGCCACAAGTCAGTCCTCCTGCTGCAATTCTGGATTGAGTCAATATTGAATGAACCTTCTCCAAATTTCAATAGTCTTCCTCCTACCTTAATTCCCGATGCCCATATTTTACATGGTTAACAAAACTATTCACTCTCTTATCATAAGGAAGAAGTCTGTTTTATTGTGATTATTTAATAAATGTAAGAGTTTTCTTTTTAATTAATACTGGATACTTTAAAAATAACATGTCTTTCCAAGAAATATCAGTAGTCAAATGCATCCATTTTTTCCCCCTCTCTACTGTGGTGTATTCCCTGTCCATGAAACTTATTTGATTAGCAGTGCTATAGAAGCTAGGGCTTTTGTATGCAGGCACTCAAGCATAATTTAATCATTTTATTTAAGCATGAAAAAAATTATTCTGAAAGCCCTGTTAGGTAAAATATCCCTGATTAGCTTAAACTTACATTTGCAGGTATTTTAAAGGTGAAATAAATCACAGAATGCTCAGTATGCAATAGAGTAGTGTTAACTTTGTTAAAACAGTAGTTAAGTTAAAAATTGTAGTATGAGAAAATGTAAGGAGTAGCTACCTCATTTTAGAGAAATATATTTAAGCAGGTTATCTTAAGATGAATTTTGTTTTGCGCAAACCCTTTTTATATTACCAGGATTTTCACTTATGAAAATCTCTTTTATAGTCAAACAAGATCAGGTCCTAATTGCATAATACCATTTATCTGCTGGGGAGAAAAGTGCCAACAAATGAAAATGCACATTAGGCAAGTGATTGTCAGAATAGAAAATTGCTTTTTTTTTATTTTTATTTTTTGTGGGGCTTTTTTTGTTTTGTTTTTAAATAACCCACTCACATTAACAAAAGATTGCAGTAGCTTCCAAATTATAGGGTGTTATTTTTAGTGGAAGTAGTTCAATATTCATATTGGAGCAGATGTAGCAGTTTAACAAAACAGCTCTTCAAATCCTGCACAAATTGAAAACAGGAAAACTGATTGCATTTTCTCTTATCACTTTCCTTTTCTGAATTGACACTTTTGGCCTTCTGAGAATTTACACGTGGCTTTCATCTCAACAGCACCTGCTGATCAAATAGAAACCTACCATTTTTATGAAAATGGTAGGAAGGACTAGTTTCGTTCTAAACATTGTAAAGGCCATCCATTGCCTACTTGATGGCAACAATTGCCATGTGTAAGAAGCATTTATAAGAGTGCCATGTGTTTATAAAACTTTAAAAAATATGTTAAGTCCCTTCTGGTTTTTTTCTCCCGTATTCCCTTTTCATATGGTTCAAATTGCTGGGACTCACTATCTGTCTAATACCAACTTTTACTCTGCAAAAAATATACAAAATGTGAAAAGGGGTACATTATACTAAGAAAATAACAAATAATATTTTCTTTCCCTCTGCTTGGAATGTATCTGAATTTCTATACATGTGTCTATGCATGCACAGGGGCATGACATACACAGCCCTCCCTCCCCCCTTGTTTTTTGCTCTACAATTACAGGTTTTATTTTTGAAGCAACTTTATGCTTCCTTTTTATCAGACATAGATTTTACCAGGTGCTTGAATGCTTGAAGTGTCCAGACTGGGAAGAAATAGCTGCCACCCAAGAAAAGGCCAGTAGGCATTTCAGTGATGTGACCCACCACTCACTGTAAATACCTCCTGGGAAGGTAATGGCAAATCTTGAAAATGGGTATCCTTATCAGTAAGATTTGCAAGATTGGTGACTAGGCTGCTTCCCAAATAAACATAAAAGTGTGGCACACATGTGGCTGTTCTAGCCAATCCTTGCTCAAATGAAGGAGGCTTCTAAGCCACTTTATCCGTGAGTATTTCAGCCACAAGCGCTGTGCCCTCCTAACCTAAAGGACTGCAGCTACTCTGTTCCCATTCTGCCAGGGGGATAAGGTATCCCGAAGGCAGAAACGACACCCAGTAATATATGTGCCATGCTGGCCAGTTGGTCTGTGAATTTCAATGTTTCATCATGCTCACTGAGGCAGCAGCAAACCTGAAATGTCAATATGTTCTGTCAATGGAAGTGAAATAATGGGACTCTATTGTCTTACGCAATCGATCTGCTGCTGTCAACAAGGAAACATGCCCCCCTGGCTTTAAACAAATTTTAATTAGGCTTTTAGTTACTGGATCATAGCTATCTATCTATGAAAACACTTAGCTTGACAAGGTGTAGGAGGCAAAACAAGCCTTTCCCCCCACTTTGCTTCCTTTTAAGAGCCCCCTGAAGTTGACACTTTAGATTTTAGAAATACACTCATGAGTCGATAAAACACTTTTTAAAAAAAGAAAGGAAGAGAGCAACAAACCATCTCGAGACACAAAAATTGCATGGTTCAAATCCAAATTACAGCTCTATATAACAGACTGGGACTGATTGCTCTTCTTTCTAGACAGAATTGAAATCATCCTATAATATCAACTAATCCCATTATTAAAAGTAGGTCTCATTTACTTTCCGCACAAAATCAAGCACCATAAGTATCAAGTCATCACGCCTTCAAAATAACACAGAACCAAACACTGGCGATCCATTCCAAAGGCTCAGCTCCTCAATCCTGAACAGAGAGGGGATGGGGACCCAAAGAAACTCTGCTGACAATGAAGTCAGTGGGTGCCTGGAGCCCAGAAGGGCAGGCAGTAAGGTAAAGAGGCAGTAAGACATGGTGCCGATCAACATTGCGGCTCAATTCCACAGCCCATTATTGCACCAGAAGGCTGTGGGTCTCACCTTAAAATAAAAACAAAAACGAACTAATCAAGTTGTTAAACAGCTTTTCCTCTCCCTTCCTCATCCAAAGGCTTGAGCATCCAGTCAATAAATAATCTATTGTTCCCCTTTATCGAGCCTCTTTAAACCTATTCAGACTGGCAAAACTAAACCCAATTAAAGATAAGGCCCTCCGGTAATCTCACCTCGGAGCGTCCTGTCTGGATAGCAGAGGTGATGGGAGATAGCATCAAGGCCAGGGCTGCTGCCTCCTCCTCACCCCGTGCAACAAAAGACAGAGTTCTCTTTCTCCCTCTGCTAATCTTTAAATGTAAATTCTCTCCACCAGCTAAGAGGAGCGACAGATAACATGTTACATCTTCACTTCTCCTGGTCTTATCGACTTCTGAATCATTTGGAAAGGGAGAGAGGGAGAGGGAAAAGCAGCCTCCCCGCGCTCCCCCTCCCCCCACTCCACCCCCTTTCCACTCCTCCTTCCTCCCTGCCGGCTCCCCCTCCCCCCTCCCCCCTCCCCTGTTCACGGAGATTACCTTCTGGCAAAGCAGCGCAGGAGAGGCGGCCGCAGCCGAGGCGGCACCCAGACCACGGCTTTGTATTCATTAAACACACATCGGAGCTTATCAGAAGTAAAAGGCTTGTCAGGATGGCACATTGTGTGTGAGTGAGTGTGTGAGCGCAGGAGGGAGAGGAGAGGAGCCAACGTGCATCAGGGTGATTACAATATCAGCAGGGCCCAGATGGAGGCAGGAAAATAAACAGAGGGTGCGTGTGAGACAGAGCAGGAGTGGGAGAGAGAGGAAAAGTGGGAGAGAGAGAGAGAGAGAGAGAAAGAGAGAGAACACAGGAAGGAGACTAGAAACGAAAAGGGATGATGTGGGCAGGGGCGCAAGCCCCAAGATGGGGTTGTCAAGTCTGGACAAGCTCCCCCACGGCTGGCAGACTGTCAGGGCCAGGATTAGGGGTCACTTACACTCTAAATCTGTCCCCTCATTCCCCTGCCCAGCCAGAAAAAAAATGGGGGGAGGGCGGGGGTGGTGGTGGTGGTGGAGATTCAGACTAGCAGAATGCTTGTATTTCCCCCACACCTGGGCTAGACTGGGTCCCTTCTGCAGGGTCTCTCCAGATCAGAAAGGATGAAAAACTGAGCAAAACAATGAGACTTTCACCATCTCAGCCCCCACCCAAATAGTCACAATTTGCAAAACAGACCTAATGAGTCCAGGCAGACCTGCAGTGGGCCGGTCTAGCCCTTTTGGATGCAGTCCCCAATAATCCTAACAGCACCCCCCACCACACACACACACACAAATAGAAATGGACCAGACAAAATAACTGAGCCTTCCTTCCCTGGCGTTTCCACACATCCCTGCAGAAGGCCTGTGCAGCCAGCATTTCTCAGTGGAAAGGAGGACCACTTGTGATTGGTAGCTACAGGTGACTCCTAGGCACCTGCTCCACCTCCAGAAACCATGTGGGGGAGAGGGTCCCTGATGTATACAATTGGAGAGTCTGTTCTGGAGGTGGGAGATGGGAATGAAGGCAATCAATCTGAGCCTGAGCTGGCTCACAGCTTTACCCACCCAGAGCCTGAGAATCAATCAAGAACAAGCAGGAGGCGAATGCTCATCCGTCCATCACACCAGAGCCCACCCTCCCCTTTCCCATGGGGGGTGGGGGGAGGTGAGATACACCGGAGGAGTCCCTTGGGGTCCCCTTTTCACTTTTAAATGCTCCCATCAGAGAATCTGAACATAAGATCAGATCCCTAATGGAGTACAGATAATGCCACCAAGGCCAGTATCTTCATGGGCAGGAGTGGGGTGGGGGTGGGGGGTATTTGGATGCACTGTGTTTCAAGGCACCAGAGCTTGGTTAAGAAGCTGCCTGCAGGATGGATGGAGGGTTCAGAACGGAGTGGCCAATAAACTCTATGATTTTTCATGGTGCACACACAGCAGGCAGCTTCAGCTGCTGTGAAGCTTGAGGGTTATAAGACAGCGTACACATGGAGCACTGATATAAAGGACCAAAATGGTCAAGAGGAAGGGTCATTCTAGAAAGTGTGTGGGGGTGAATGGGGTGAATGGGGTGTTCAGAGAAGCAAGGCGACCAGCAGCCCCCTCTTAGAGAAGACAATTTGAGAAGCCCTTTGGATAATTAGGAGAGGCTTTGTTTAACCAAGTACTCCCCTCTCAACCACTTAGCCAAAATAAAATGGTTTTATGTGCAGTGGACCACCTTCCAATGCCATGCTCCCATCACGGAACTGTGATGGGTAATGCCAAAGGGAAAAAGCTGGCCATGGTGAGGGGAAGGGGATGTGTGAAAATCCTGTCATGCAATGGGTATCAGCCAAAAGGGGGGCTGCCACAGTCTTCCAGGGAGCCAGTATTGTGAAAAACCTCTTGGCATCACTGAGAGCAAGGTGGTATTTCCCCTTAACGCTTCCAAGTGACCAAGTTCACTAGTTGGGGAAGGGTACCAGGTAGGAAGTAACTCCCTTGGCTTGGCTGTAGTACCAAATTGAGTGAAGTCTACATGAGTGAAAATCTGTTATTCTTACATGTTTCAAATTTGCTAACTGATGTCTGGGGCATCGTTTTAGCTCACATAAAAGGCCCCCCTTTCACCCTTTCTCAGGGTTCTAGAAAAGAGCATTCTGAGTAATCAGGAGCAACTACCCAGCCTTTCCCTTTATTCCCACCTCCACAAGTCACATTTGACTTGAATCCTTTGGACACAGACTCTACACCAACATCTGTGAGCCCAGGCCAAGGCTAGCAAGAAATCACACAGCTCTGGCAAGTGCTCAGTGCCTTTTGCCATCACAAGTTCTCTTCTTAGAAAACTACGAAAACAGTGCACTAGTGACTGCTTTCAAACGCAGCAAAGGCTTTACATTTTTCATTAAAAGGCGGTCCAAACACTGGCAGCAAAAAGCAAACTGTTCCTAAGCTACTCTGCCCAGGCTCTTCTTTTGCAAAGGCGCTGTATTTCTATTACTGCCTGGTTTGGTCATTGACTTCTGGCTCACAGTTACAGAAAAGATCAACCAACTCGCAAATGGGAAGACTCCATGACTCTCTTCCAAAGGAAACACTTTGCTGCAAAGCTTTCAATTAAAATAAATAAATAAAATAAAGCAGTGTAATAATCAAGAAGTATAATCACAGAATAAATGTACAACAGAAAGTGGTTTCTATAATCACAGCTGTGTCAAGGTCCAGGCAGCAGCCTAGAAATCTTAATTTCAACTAGTTCTTTTCTTAATAATAGGTTACCTTCCTATAAAAGCAAGAAGTCCATCTGCCCTAGGCAGATAAGTTTTGAAGCATTAATTCAGATAAAAATCTAGCATTTTCTTTCTTTGAGTCTGTGAATTGTAGTGTGCTATAATGTGAGAATTCCAACATATGACCATTATGGCATAATATCTCATTGCTCAGCTTGTCATTATTTCATTTGTAATTCTTATGTTAATTATGTTCATAATTACTATAAACAGATGTGGTAGACATTCATGTGACCTTTTATTGCAGAATGCATTCCTCGCTCATTTCCCTTTAATTTCTCATGTATGTGAAGCTGAAATGCAATGGGGGCAGGGGAGAAAAAAAGCTCTCTTGATTTTTTTAAATGTTTTATATGCATAAGTTAAAACGGAATCGACTCTCTTCCACTTCATCTGCCTTTCAGAATATCAGAATATTATTAATGTCTACGCTTCTTTTGAGCACATTTTTAAACTGCACACGGAACCTCAGTGCTGCTCACTAAATTGTGACTCTGCATGCCAAACAAAGGCTAGCATCCGTGTCTAAGTTGTCTTTTTTTTAATCAAATGTTAACCCAGCAGAATTCTGCTTCCAAACGAAGTGCCTAGCAGCCACATAGCGATTTATTCACTCATAATTCAGCCATCGCCCTCTTTACATAAAACACATTTACAATAAAATCAGTATGGATTTCATTAGCTGAAAACCTCCTCAAATTTCATTTCTTTGGCCCTAATCTATAATTAGTGTGGACAGACAGGTGCAAACCCTTCTCTTCTACAGATGGCTACTGGAAATGGTGCAAGGTAGCTCCTTCTGTTTAAACAACACAGAGATAACCTGCTCTGTCTTATCACTTACAATTACCTCCATTAAACTCAATGAATGTTTGCTTTCATAAAATGTTCGCTGTTCTTTAAACATTATTTAGGAACTCTTATACTAATGGCTGTAAGAAAGTGAAGTTGGAAGGTGTTTCTTTAGATGATAATAATAAGGACTTGACTCTGGATAAAATGTCCTTTTGCTGGATAGTACACTGAGGTTCACAAAGGTGTTTTAGTTGATAAAAAACATTTGCTAGGTCTTTGCCTACATACGGTTCCATGATGCATTTCTAAAGGCATTTAGGTTTTTAAAAAATGTAATTGATTAAAAAAAATTGGGTGAAGACTCACATTTCCCCTGCAGTTTAGAAATACAAAAATGTAAATTATCTTTTCTCTTAAAAATCTGCTCGTTGACATATGTAACTTTTAAAGTCCAGATTCTTTTAGGCATTTGCCTCAATTTCAGCTAGATTGTTCTGAAAGGTGACTGGATTTCAAGGAGCCACAAAAATCATAATTTTAAGGCCTATTTTGAAAATGACTATAAATGTAAGTGCAGGCAGCAAGCACAAGTTTTTAAAATTCCATAATAAATAACTGCTATAAAGCCAGGGTTCACTTCATCCTGCTTCTGCCATCAATAAAGCCTGTGAATCAGTATAAGATGAATAAAGTACCCATAAAACAAAGAACTTTTAGATGCTCAAACAGGAACAAATAAATAGTCTTTCTCACTGAACTTACATAACTTACAGTAATAGGCTCCAGCAAAATGCAACTGACTCATTTTTTTTCACATGCAAATCCTGCAGGTGCCAATTTTTCAGAGTGCTTTGCTATGAAGGGCTATGTTGCCTGCATAAAACCTCAATGAAGAAGGCTTTGCATTCAGTGCCTGTCAGCTGATGTTCATATCAAAGCAGTGAGAAACAGGATTTGACAGTGAAGAATGTCCCAAACTGAGGATCACTGACCAGCACTCCTATTGGAAGCAATCCCCACCCCCCTTGTGATCCTTTCTCAATGTTTAAGGGGAAAAATGGAGGGGGGGGGGTCTTAAACTAAACTTCTTTTACAATAAAATAGATGATAATGGAGCCTTACATTTCTGTTCTTCTTGGCAACTTATGAAGAGCTCTTTAATTTGCAAATGCTTAGAATCACACCCTCAATAGGAGAGCTCAG